ATCTTTTCTTCTTGGAATATTTTGCTGTTTGTTCATTGTTAATTGTATGATGAGCTTTGCGGATTACTATAAAAGGTGATAATGTTTATCTATCACATTCGTTAAAGCACATACTGCACGTTCATGTATATTTTAAAATACTTTATATCAACACTTCCCCCTCTATTTGGAAAAAAATCAATTTTCTCTATTTTCCACGAGCGTATTTCTCAGAAAACAAAAAAACAAACCTATTTGGTTCGGTTCGCTTTTCTTTTATTAAGATTTATATTTCTAAATAAATTATGCATCATTCTTCGTCACCCTCAAGCGGTAGTTCTGTTAGTAGTATATACAGAGCTTCCTCACCTATAGAGACGTCTAAAAATCGTCCTTCTCTAAGTTCATATATCAAAGCCCATAAAAACATATCTTTTTCTTTCTCTGAAAATTCTACCTCTTTTCAACATGGTCATCTCGGCGATAATGACACTTTTCTCATTGGAACTCTTCATTTAAATTATCCAAAAGCTTGTTCCATAAAAAGTGTATTCCTAAATTTTAAAGGAACTGAAAAAACTTCTTGGTTTAAAGCTCAAGCTAGAACAAAAGTTATTTATACCGGTGAAAATACTTTCATCGAACAATCAAATAAGATATGGGAAGCTTTTGATGAATTTGCTGAAATTCAATCTCTCGATATTCCTTTCAAGATTCAACTTCCTTACAATTTACCTGAAACCATAAACACTGATATAGGTTCTGTTCGTCATATCCTTCGTGCTACTGTTAATGTCAAAGGTTTGTTGGGTACTAACGTTACCCATGTTGCAAAGATACTTTGTCCTCTAAAGCGCATTGTTACTTTGGATCACTCTTCTTCCTCATTTCCTTACAAAATTTGTGGTGAATCTCAAAGTGGTATTGAATATACTTTCATGTTACCTCCAGATAAACAATTAAATATTGGCAGTTTCGTTTCAATTCCAATGTTATTACGTTTCATACGTCCTAATGTCAGTATAGAAAGAATTGATGTGTCTTTAAAGACCTCTATGGTCTTTCAATGTTCTGATCACAATGAAAAACGTAATTTAGATATTCAGATTGCTAGTCTGGTCATCACGCGTTCGGATCTTCGCTATCTGGAATCTTCAATGCCTCATTATGATTATGGTGAATGCACTTACACTATCAATCTCTTTATTCCTCCTTCCGCTCAACCAGCTTATCAAGGAAGATTCATCAATATATCTCATAAATTATCTATAAATGTTTGTCTTTATGGTTGTGCATCTGGCTTTCTCGTTGAAGAACAAGTTAAGATTGCTAATGTCGTAGAAAAGAATGCTTCTCCTAAAAATATTTATTCATCTTTCCCTATTGATAATACACAAAATCCTAATATGGCTTACGCTAATGGTATTCTGAATAATTTCTCTCATTCATCTGAATCTTTCAATAACTTTACTGGTCCTTTCAGTTATCCTTCGTATGACTTACAATTGACGAATCAACTTCGCCAGCAACGTAGTCTTCCTGAATTACCGCAAGGCCTTCCTTTTGATGATGATTCTTTTCATACTACTTCTTTGGATTATCAGCGTTCTATTCCTTTTGATATTAATAATTATGACCGTATACATGATCGTTACAATACACGATTTTCGTCAGATATATCAAATAACATTTACCAATTATATAGTCCTCAACATTCTCGTTCTGAAACCCCTCAAACCCCTCCAAGTTCTTATTCTACAACTACTTCGTCAACAAATATACGCTTGGGTGAAGTCGTTTCTGATACTTCAAATATTTCTCAATTGGATTCAATATCAAGTACAGATTTACCGAATTCGTCAAAAACTATCCTTCCAACTTCTCTTTCTTTACCTCCATATTATCGTTATCCTTCAGGACATCATCAATCATCATCTCTTGGAAGTTCTAATGATTATACAATCTCGAGCTCTTCAAAAAGATAAACGTTTTTCCTT